ATGTTTATAATTTTTAATTCCAAATTTCGTATTAAAAAAAAAAATCCAGTATATAAGAATAAAAAAAAATATATAAGAATTAATCCTTTTGAACTAGAGAAATCGCACAGGGAGATCATCTTCAATACTTTAGAGCACTGAGGAGTGACCTTAAAAATAAAATTTTCAATTTATTTATAAACATATTAAATTCTTTATTTTTAAAACAAAAGAGAAATATTTTTTTAAATCCCCAAAATTTAAAATTAAATATTTATATTAAAATGTTTTTAAATCAAAAACAACCCTGTTTGGTATTAAAGCGTTTCTTTCAAGTTCTTTCACTTAATTTTTTTGTTTGTAATTTTCTTTTATAAAATAAATTTGTAGCAAAATATTGCTGGACGATAGCTAAAAACCAGTCATCACTAGTAAAACAAGTTAATTTCAATATGGCACTTGGATATAGTTTTCACCCAATTATAAGCAATCCTTTAGCTATATACATTGACAGTATCTAGAAATCCTACAATCCAGTTGAAAAGTCGTATACTTTCAGCATCATCAAGCTGATTTCAGATACGAGTATATTTTAATGAAATCTAATTTAATATGTTTCATTAAGCTATAAAGTATTTAAATAAATTAAAAATTATTACTTGTAATTATTTTAGTTATAATCTAACCTCATTTCGCTCATATTTCATTAAAAGCATTTCAAATTCTACTTATAACACTCTTCGTACTCTTTTTTCACGAGATGGAGCTAATCGATTTATTGTGTTCAAATGTAAATTAGTAAATTAGTACTTTCAAAAGACTCAAGAATAGTTTTAAAAAGCAAGGCAAAGATAAAAAATAATATTAAATGAATTAAAAATTTTAAGCCAACAGCTTAGCATTAGCATAACAATTCTATCCATTATATCAAGTAGAATTGAACACAATAGAACTTTTAGCCAAATCTCTTACTCATTTGCTTCCGAACTTCTCTTTGTTTTTCTGCCAGCTCTCACTATTTTATTAACTTTCATTCTGTTTTGCACACTCTTGTCATTTGCACGTTTACAAAGCACTCAATAAATTTCTTTTCTCCACTTTCCCTCCCTTACTCCATTTCGCATATAGGCTACCCCACACATGCCCACCAAGCGTCGTTCGGTGGCGCGCAAAGTGCGTCCTCAGTCCGTCGTGGAGAACCTCAGCTTGGGGCATATACCCGACCTGTTGGAGTCACCCTCTTCGCATCGCTCCTCGTCACAGCTATCGCCACGCGATTCGAATGGCATGGGCGCCAGCATTGCCGGCACGACTACTGGGGGTAGTGGCAACGGGTTGGATGATTTAGGCGGTGACGAATGCGGCGACTCAATAACTGAACTTCCCAGCGCCTCATTCCAATTGCAACATCTGGTTAAGGGACGACCGAAACGCGCCAAGACGCGCGCACCAACGCGGCCGTTGGTTGCGGTGGACAATAGCGCCAGCCCGAGCACCAAAGAGATAGGCGAGGGTTTGGATTTATTCTTTCGTCCCGGTTCGGTGACGCCCACCACGTTGACGCCGCTGATTTCACCCACTTCCGAAGAGTGCAGCTCGCTATCGTTTGTCGATAGTCCAACAATGAGTCGTGATGGCAACGGTCATCTGACATCCGAAGAAACTACACCCATATTGGAGGAGCGCAGACCCATTAAGCTGGATCGGCAGTCACCATTGCTCAAGGGTAAATGTAATTACTCAAACCAAAAATTGTTACTTGAAATTCCCGCATCATATTAACCTTGCTACTTGCAGGCGTGCCATGGACCACACGTTCGCGTTCGACAGACAATTTGGAAAAATATTCGCCACTAATTGGCCGTAAATCGCCGCTGGTGAAAATGCGTACTRAAGGTGGCAGCGTTGCGGCGGGTGATGAGCCCAATTCAGCACTAAAAGCTCCAGAACGTGAGAATAAGATGCGTTCGCCAAGCAGTGATTCGATACGTAGCCACACCGGAGGCGATGGCATCAGCATTAAGACCACTAACSGTATTATACGCACACCAATAATACTGCAGAAGCCACGTCCCTGGTCGGTAGTAGGAAATGAACCCAAAGCGCCTGGTGCCAACGACTTCCAAAACAGTGACTCTAGTAAAACGACGCCGGAAAAGCTCGATGAAGGTAAGCGTACTAACAATTTATAAAATGCGTTTTAAATGCGTTTGCTTAATGATTTATAAATTGCAGATGCTGAATCCATATCGTTTAGTCAGAGCAGCAACAATGTCGGCAGTGTGCCAGGTAAGCTATGGTTCTTATACTCTCGCAACAATGTTGCTAAAGAGAGTATTATAGTTTTGTTCACATAACGGTTGTTGTAAGTCCTAAAACTAAAAGAGTCAGATA